AAGTGTGAAATGCAGCTTTTCCATTCTTTTCTGCACACTCAGTGAAGAAACAATGATTAATCACTGTTTAACTATTCTCTTGAGGATCTATAAGATTGCCAAAGCAGGACTTATCCTCATAAATCCAAAAAATACAGGTTTAGATTTGTTGCCAACAACTGAAAGAACATGAACTTAAACCCATTTGTTATCAGATTAAAATAATGTCAAGGTTTAGAACCCCGCTGGTACACAATTTCCTTTTAATCGGTCACTTCAATAGGAAATTAGATCAACACAAAGTATAATGAAAGCATGTGTATTTCATAAAATAATAAATATATCTTTTAAAAATTATAAAATATCTACAGCCTAATAAAGTCAAACAACATACTACTGAACTTGAGCTGATAACCATCCTTATCTACATAAATACTTCAATTCCTCTGTGCTATTTATAAAAATTAAAATACATGCTGTCAGATGAAAAACAATTTTCAAATGGTTATTTCACATGGAAAATGACTACTTATTCCAAGACATTTTATTCCAGGCAGCTATAGCTGAATGACAATTATGTGTATAAAATTATTTAGCTCCAATAGTACCACCATATATATTTATAAGCCTTTATAAGACTGAAAATGGAAAACTCAAAACTTTAAGCCTGTACTATATATGATCCAAAAATATGTAACATTTTGCACAGAAGTACATAAGAAGAGAGGTTTCAAATATATTCCAAGTAATTAAGGCTTTCAAAATATCTTCAGCCAATATTCACTACATTCTGAAGAAATTAAGTAACTTGTAAGTTGAGGCAAAATTATTGTGCACTCTATAAAACTCTGAATACATACTTTTAATAACTGAAACCTCATTCTGTGTCAATAAAACATTAATATCATAATGGTTAAATCATTACAAATTAAAATTTTTTAAATCCCCTTTAAATGAGTCAGCTGTTCAGAAACTATAAAGTATTCCTAAATGGGACTAATCTAAAATAAAAATTCAAATTTCTATGTAGAATAAAAACAGTCAGTTCTCAATTATTAAGGTTCCATTTTCTATCTGTCTGATTATATGTTCATATAACTTTTTCCTTCCAATTCATGACACTTCTTTCAGGTCTACGAGGTACCACAAAAGACTAGCAGAACTACAGGAACAGGAGGTCAATTTCACTGCTCATTGTCTTTTTAAAAGTGAATAACAGAAAGAGAAAGTGAAACATATTCTGTACTTCCCACATTTCACTTTTAGTTTAAGTTCGCTGTTACTTCATTATCAAAAAAATGAGAGTTATGCCTAGTTCGTGTGTATTAAAAACCTAAAAAATTTCACAAATAAACTCCCCCAAAAATTGATTTTCCTGACATGAACCATTTTTTAAAAGAAAACATTTTAAAGTGACATTTATTTCAGATTAACTGAGTATCTACCAAAGAGTGAACAGTTAATACATATTTGTTAATAATATTAGAGGAATTCACATTGCATCTGCTCTTGAAGCTGATGACATGTTAGGGTCAATAGAAAGACAATTACCCTTTCAAGAACTTCTCCCTACATTCCCAAATATCTTCTCCAATTAAAATATTTCAATGCAGCCCTGGCCGGTTTGGCTCAGTGGATAGAGCGTCAGCCTGCCTACTGAAGGGTCCTGGGTTCGATTCTGTTAAGCGCTTATGTCTGGGTTGCGGGCTCAATCCCCAGGAGGGGGTGTGCAGGGGGCAGCCAATCAATGACTCTCATCATTGATGTTTCTATCTATCTCTGCCTCTCCCTTCCTCTCTGCAATCAATAAAAATATTATACACACACACACACACACACACACACACACACACACACACATATATATATATATATATATACACACACACACATATATATATACACACATATATATATTTCAAATCAATGAAACATTTAGGAAGAATCATCCTTCTGTGTTACTCAAATTATACCACTAGCATAAAACCGCACAGAGATAATAGTTTGCCTTGAAAAAAACTATTAGGATGGAATTGAAGGTTCTGGGACAGACGTCCTATTAGCTGCTATATTTTGGACAAGTTTGAGAAGAATTGGCATTAATTCTACTTTAAATATTTGATAGAATTCACCAATGAAGCCATGTGGTGCTGTACCTTTCTTTGTTGGGAGGTTTTTTGTTTGTTTGTGTTTTTTTTATTTTAAAATATATTTTTATTGATTTCAGAGAGGAAGGGAGAGGGAGAGGGAGAGAGAGATAGAAACATCAATGAGAGAGAATCATTGATAGGCTGCCTCCTGCATGCCCCCTACTGGGGATTGAGCCTGCAACCTGGGCATGTGCCCTTGACAGGAATAGAACCTTGGACCCTTCAGTCCGCAGGCTGATGCTCTATCCACTAAGCCAAACCAGCTAGGGCTGTTTGTTTTTTTAAAAAAATATATTTTATTGATATCAGTGAGAAAGGGAGAGGGAGAGACAGAAACATCAACTATGAGAGAGAACCATTGTTCAGCTGCCTCCTGCATACCCCACACTGGGGATTGAGCCTGCAACCCAGGTATGTGCCCTGACTAGGTATCAAACTGTGACCTCCTGGTTCAAAAGGCCACATTCAACCCCTGAGCTATGCCTGCTGGGCTGCTGGGAGATTTTTAATTATTAAGTCAATGTCCTCATAGTAATTGATCTGTTCAGATTATCTATTTCTTCATGATTCAGTCTTAGTAAGTTGTGTGTTTCTAGAAATTTATCCATTTCTTCTAAGTTGTCCAATTTGTTGGTATACAATTGTTCATAGTATTCGCTTATAATTTTTTGTATTTCTGTGGAATTAGTTCCAATATGTCCTCTTTCATTCCTAATTTTGAGTCCTGCCTTTTTTCTTAGTACACTTAGGTAAAGGTTTGTCTATTTTGTTTACCTTTTTAAAATAAACATCTTAGTCTCATTGATAATTTTTCTTGTCATTCTAGTCTCTATTTCATTTATTTCTTGCTCTTTATTTCCTTTCTTCTATAAACCTTGCGCTTAGTTTGTTCTTGTTATTTCTAGTTTCTTGAGGTGTAAAATTCGATTGTTTATTTGAGCTCTTTTTAAAAAAAAAAAAATGTAGGAGTTTATCACTATGAACTTCCCTCTCAGAAATGCTTTTGCTACGGTTGGATTAGGAATAATTTTTATCTTCTTTTTACTTTCCTATATACACCAAACTTCCTAACACAACATATTACTTTTATAATCAGAAAAATGCTTGTAATCTTTTAAAAGGATAAAAAAAAGCTACATAAAATGGGAATGGGTACTAGAAGAGACCACTTTGGGAAAATATCTAGGTTATTCTAAGCTGATATGAAAAAGATAAAAATGTTTTAAACCATTAAGAATGTTTTAAACCTTAAGAATGACTTAAGGACATCAGCATATATAATTTATGTAGATGGGGCAAACAGGAAGAGAATAAAGAAATACACACCTTGTATAAGGATGATTCTATCAAAGATTATCCCCAGTTCAAATTTTGAGTAATATTTGTATCTATTCTTACTATAGAAGAACCTTAAAAGTTTCCCAGCAATTACCCAGTTCTTTCACCAAATCATTTGATAGCTTGTACTGAATGGAGAAAGATCAGACGCACAGAGGAGACAGGATAAAAGCAACCTGACAGAGACAGACATCAAATTGCCTGATTCCATTTACCTTTTTAACACGTCAGTCATGAACAAATATACAAATGATCTAAGGCAGGGGTCCTCAAACTACGGCCCGCGGGCCACATGCAAATACAGATATTGTATTTGTTCCTGTTTTGTTTTTTTATTTCAAAATAAGATATGTGCAGTGTGCATAGGAATTTGTTCATAGTTTTTTTTTGAACTATAGTCCGGCCCTCCAACAGTTTGAGGGACAGTGAACTGGCCCCCTGTTTAAAAAGTTTGAGGCATGGTATTTGAAATTATAAAAGTGATCTGTTATTGGATAGGGAAATAAATTTAGTTATAAGCACCAGCATGTATTAAATAAAACATACAAAAATATAATAGAAAAGACCACAGCCTGGTAGGCTAAAAACTTTGAACTTTCGTTTCCGTTTCATTTGTACATTTGCATCTGTGGGAAATGGCTTAAAATGTAAATTTTATTTCTTACTATAAATTGTGGTAAAAAAAAAATGGGGGGGGGGGACTAAGTGCTACCTAAGATACCTTCAACTCTAAGTTCAATCATTCTAATCTTGCTTCTCTAACAAATTAATGATTGTTGGAGGGAGGGAAGAAAGAAAAAGGAAAGAGATGGATACAAAAAGCATTCCCTAAAGAAAGTGCTAAGTCTGCTGACTGAAATACACTTTAACACCCCCTTGAAGGCTCAGATAAAGGAGAAAGAAAACAAGTAGGAAAAGGAAAAGACTGGGAGCTGGTGAACAGATACGAGGTGGAGAGAAACAGGTCAGGTATCTCTATGTAACTATGTTAGAGGGCAACATTATTCCTTAAAGGAGCCTATAATCAAAAACCAGTAGAAGTGTATCAACACACAAGTATGCACACCCACAAATACATACGTACACATATTTTTTGTACAGGAATCTATGAACACATCATTATAGCAAGGGTATTGTTGAAATGAAAGTTTATGCCCCCTAAAACGCAGGTGTTGAAATCTGCCTTCCCAAAGCAATGTGCTAGGAGTAATGCCTTTGGGAGGTAATTAAGTCATGAGGGTGCAGCCCTCATGAATGATTTTAATGCCCTTGAAAGAAGAGACCCCAGAGAGCTCTCTCTTTCCTTCTACCATGTGAGAACACAGTGAGAAGACAACCATCTTCTCATCAGACACAGAATCTTACGGTACCTTGATCTTGGACTTCCCAGCCTTCAGAACAGTGAAAAATAAGTTTCTGTTGTTTACAGGTCACCCAGTCTATGGTATTTTTGTTATAAAGCCTGAATAAAGTAAGGCAGGTCTTAATAATATTAAGTTTTTAAAGGTAAACTTTGAATAAATATATGCTTACCTTTTAGAAGAACTTTAGTGATCCACAAACCTAACTGACACTTGAAAATGCATGCTCTTGTTATGTGTCAAAGAATTCCTCAGGCTCGGTATAACAAAGTTCTCTGAATACAAGTCTTAGTTGGAAATTTGAAGTAACGAAGAATCAGGAAATATAGATCAGCAGAGTTCTTCAACTAAGCTGCTGGAAAATCGGCAAATTCCTAGAAAATAAACAAATAAAATAGCTTCAAATATTCCTATTCCAGAAGGAACCTTAAACCAGGGCAAAAATGCAAAACGCAGGCTGAAAAAAATGTGTGATAATATTTTAGGTTTTTAGGGGACAAATGTTAGTCTAGTCACTAATCACTCTTTCCATTTTCTATTTTAACTCCTGGAAGGAAGGGAATCGTTTTATAATACCTAAAATAAAAGGTATTATAATATTTAAAAAATCCAAAATACTTCACTATAACACAAATCATACAACTTCATTTCATTGCAATGACATAAAAATGTTCAACTAACAAATACACTACTCTATTAATACATAATAAAATATCAAGCAATAAAATCACATAAAATAATGGAAATTTGAAAACAAATATGGAAAAAATTCCATTGAAAGTGGATTCCAAAGCATTAATAAGATATAAAATTAAAATACAGACAATAGTCTTTTTGCCGAAATATCTTATCACTTTTAATAATATACTTTCACAAATCATATCTGACACAAATATCTCTCTATACAAAATCTGTAAGAATGACAGCTGATTTTCTTAAATAGCTATCCAATATAAGTCAAGAACTTCTTAATAATAATAATTTACTAAACATATTATCACTCTCCTCTAGATTTCATCCTATATTAGTTTAGTTTACTCCCAAAACTCTTTTAGAGCTTATCAGTAGCTCAGCACATAACAATACTTAGGCAATATAATGTAAAACATAAATCAATAACATAAAACTGAAAAATATTAGGATAACAGAACTGAAATCTACTAAGATTCAGAAAAATTAATTCCTTAACTACATTTTAGCATCATATACTACTAAAACCAAATAACAAAACAGGATTTCTGAAGAATACAAATATATGTAGGATTGATCTCTAAACAGATTTCCAAACAATGTTTTATGCTCTTGTATTCAATGTAATTCATGTTTTGATTGTGAAGAATGTTTTATCACATTCTAATGCAGCATTTTCTCGTTTTAACTTTCAATCTCATCTGAAAAAGTTATAAACAGCATGTTTCTAAATTATATACTAGTGACCCAGTGCACGGATTTGTGCACACTGAAAGGAAATTAATTAGAAGGTTGCCGGCGGGGTGAGACTGAGCAAAATGGGTTTGACACGAGCCAACCTCCTGCAGTCCCCTCCTGGTCGGCTGCACCTGGGGCGGCGCAGTGGCTCAAAGGGCGTCTGTGGAATGAGTGGGGTCCCTCCAGCAGGTGGGGTTCCTCCAGCAAGTGGGGTCCCTCAGCCAGGCCTGCAGGGATAGGGCCAAAACCGGCTCTCCAACATCCCCTCAGGGGTCCCGGAGTGCGAGAGGGCACTCTGCAAAGTTGCTGTCGTACAGGGTATGGAACGCAAACAAAAGTGTACAGTAAACCAGATTTGGGGCCAACAGTGCCCCAGCAATAACATAACCCATGACCAAAGGTGGAATTGCAAGGCCTCACAAGAAATCGGGCTCCCTCCTCTCTGGTTTTGAGGTGCATCACCCCAGAACTGCCACTGCCAAGTCACTGCATCTTAGCAGCTCCTGTGTTGAGTGTCTTCTCACTGATGGTCAGTGCACGTCATAGCTACTGGTCAGATGGACACTTAGCATATTAGCCTTTTATATATATAGATGTATGGAAAATATCTAAATATTGTCAGCAGCTCCTTGGACAGCAACATATTTACTTGGTTTTTCTGGATGGTTGAAATAAAGTTGCTAAACCACTAAAATAATGTGGTTTAGCAACTTAGTTTCTCATCTTTCCCTTATCAAAATACAGACCATTTTTATTCTATGGATTACTCTTTAAAAGTGAAAGACATTAAGTATCTTTTAAATATTCCAACATGTGTGTATTTGATGTGTACTTATGAAACACAATATATACTGTCGTACTAACGTGTCAATACTATTCAGAGAACAATGGCTATTTCTTCAGAAAGTGTGACAGTGGCCAAAAGAAAAATTGACACTACAATCAGTGTCCTGAGTAGTTGTAATTTGTTTTGTTTCTAAATACACACTTTATACCCAGGTCAATTTTACATTTCTTACACTGTTAGGATTGTAATTTATTTTCTTGTTCTGATAGGACATGTCCAATAAAAGATCTCATTGACATACCATCAGAGAAACCACAAGGGAGGAAAAAGACTACAGGAGAATCAGGAGACACGAACACTATCTGTACAGTAGTCTTCCTCAGCAATCCACATGCAGAAGGAATGTTTACCACAATCTCACTGAAAGGATATACCAGTTCTTTTTCTAGTTATTCTCTATGGAATTGTATAAATACTGAGAAATCTAGAAATAGACATACATATGCATATATAAAAATTATTGTCAGTGTATAAGTTACTGCTGCTCTGGGACTGCAATAATTTATGTAACATCTGTTTTCATATTTTTCTAATTTCTTTCTTAATTAACATGCATATTTAATGCATAAATGCTCAGACCACCTCTTTTTTTTCTGCTGACTGTGCCTCTTTACTTTTGAAGTTGTGTACTCCTAGGAAGAATTCAGGATAGATGGAAAGCAAACCTTATTGAAAGCACTAATTTTTAAATGTAAACAAAGAAATAAACCAATTTTCAAAAAAAATACTAAAATTTTAAGGGTTTTCATAAGAACATTTCAATATGCCAACAAAGCATGCAGTAAATTAAGGCCCAAATACCAAAAACGCACCACAAAAACATAATTCATAATTCCAACTATTTATATTAATCTTCTTGATTTCTCTTTTACTTTTATAAGAGCTGAGAAACCCATTATAACCACTATGATTTTTTGACTTCGTAAGTTTTGTGTTTCAAAATCTTAATGCTTTAGGCAACTAACATAAATGAACACTCTCCATATAGTAAACATCAAGAAATATGTAACCAACTATTTCTTTTTTGAACTGTAAACTTCAAATATTCTGCACATGGGAGGAAAGGGGAAAGTTTTCATTCTAAAGCTCACTCAAGTACAATCAACTTCTGGCAGCTCTTAATCTGAACTGGGGGATTCAAAACTCAAAATACTACTTATACTTAGATTTAATAGAAAAAGTAAAATTAGAGACTGATTAAAGCCAATGCTACAATAACTAAAATACTGCCAAGTAACAATGCTTAAAATGCCACCACTGTAACTCCATGTGTACTTACCTCACTTTAGAATTAATCACTAGTTATGTACATCAGTCAGTCATTTAATATTTCTCTTCCATTGTCAGGGCTGTTTATAGACATTGAAATGGTCTCAGCGTAGAACTTACATTTTATTTGGGGAAACAGACAGTAGTACCCAATAACCATACAAATACATAATTGTAAGCAGAGATAAATGCTATTAAAAATATAGACAGTGGGGAACCATGCGATTTTATAACAGGAGACTGATTTAGTCCAGAGATCAGCAAAGACCTAAAGAAATACTGTTGAATATGAGATCAGAAAGGTATGATTCATGTAATATCTCACTCTGAATTACATATGTGTATGTATGTGTGTGTATGTATATATATATATATATATATATATATATATATATATATATATAATCCAGCTGAATACAAAAGTTTGCATTATACTACATATTTAGTAGGTTTGGTACTAACACTCCATTAACACCAAGAAAAACAAAAAAACAAAAACAACAATAAAAACTATCCAAATAAAAAATGAGAAGAGGACCTGAATAGACATTTCTCCAAAGAGGACATACATATGGCAACAAACATATTTAAAAATGCTCAACATCACTAATCATCAGGAAAATGCAAATCAAAACAAAAATGAGATATCACCTCACACTTGTCAAAATGGCTAGCATTTAAAAAAAAAAATAAAGCAAATTAGTGCTGGTGAGGATGTGGAGAAAATTGAACCACTGTTGGTGAGATTGGAAATTGGTACAGCCATTATGGAGAATAAGAAAAAGATTTCTCAAAAAATTAAAAGTAGAGCTGCCAAATGACCCAGCAATTCCGCGTTGGGTTATCTATACAAAGAAAAAAAATCACTAATTAGAAAAGATATATGCCCCCCTATGTTCATTGTAGCATTATTTACAATAGCCAAGATATGGAAGCAACCTAGGTGTCCATGGAAAGATGAACAGATGAGCCTATAGAGCACTTTTATATTAAATGATATAAATCAGACAAAGACAAATACCTCATGCTTTCACATATATGTGGAATTTAAAATAAGAATAAACAAAACAAAAATGGACCCACAAATGCAGATAATAAGCTAAAAGGAGGAGAGTGAAAGATGGGTTAAACAAAACAACAACAAAAAGCAACAAACTAACACTCCAGCAAAATAAATACAGGAAGATTATACATGTGTCAGTGCTTTCCGTCTACTAACTCAATAAAACAGCAGTGAATTAATTTACATTACTAATGTCATTCTTTTGCCACTCATAACAGTAACTTTTTAAATGTATTCTTCAAAAACACTTTTAAAATATTTAAAGATATTCCAAGCAAAATTATTACTCTGGTTTCATACTGCAATAAGATGTATAAAATTAAGTATATTCAAAGACTCTTAAGAAAAATGCTCTCTGAGGTTAAAAGACTATAAATTGGTAAAATGAAAAGAAAATCATAAATATGATATAGCATACCAAAACTTTTGGTTTTATCATAAAAACTTTTGGTTTTATTACCAAAACTTCTGGTATTACTGGTTTTTAAAAATAATGTTTTTTTGCTTTTTTGTTTTGTTTTGTTTTTGCATGCTAGAAATTCAACAAGAACTCTGAGGCAATTGGTTATTACTCTCTAAGGCCAGAAGCCCAAATAAGGCACCTATTCTTAAGACATTAAAAATAAATGAATGAATGAATGAATGAATGAATGAATGAATGAATAACACCCAAAGTCAGTCTTTTGAGAAATAATCCTTGGCCCTGGTGAATTAAAGTGATTTATATATCTCCATCTCACTGGAGTACCTGAAAACCTACAAATCAA